GTCCACCAGAGGAGCGTAACCAGCCCCGCCGACGGGTACACAAGGTGAGCCCTCAGCAACCCCACGGTTATCGGAGTACCCCCTCCGTCAGTCGGTAGTCCAGGGCACTGTGTGTCCGAGTGGATCGCAACGTGATTTTGTGAACCCCACTCCACCACAAATCCCTTTGCCCGAACATGCTGATACCTCGCTTACAGTAAAATACCCGTTAAAAAATGGGTACAAAATATTATTTTAGTATTTGAGCAACCCGAAAAGAGCTTACCAATTCCGGCGTGTGTCGAGCTATTGCCAAGCACCAGTACGACTGGACACTGTACATTGTATCTTGTCAGGTGAGCGTCAAAGAACTTTAGCCAGAGTTTAAAGATACCCGCGTTGCTGAAACCCTTCAGCGCGCCAGTCACAGACTGTAACGGGGCTAGAGTTACCGTTACTAGCTTACACTGTAGTGTAGAGGAAGCTCGCAATAGTTAGACCGAGTCTTAGGTTTGCGTCAAATTCAACTCTGATTTATTTTTGACCAGGACGGCTATCCCTGACCTCACGTAAACCACTCAAATGCAGATCAACACCTGATTGGTCAATAAGTGGTTCTAGCACCCCACTATCAACCAATCAGATGATGACACCTTGACACACGCTAGCCGTGTGTCATTATGTAATTGGAATTGGGCCCATTACATCACCCTCCTCCCTAAGTTGCGCTTACGTTGCGTAAGCGCAAAGAACACAACCGAAGAAACCCAAAGTCCAACGAAGGGAAGATGACCGAGAACATCGCAGAGAGGACGTCGGTCGGCAGGAATAGCGCCGCGCTGGTGACAACAACGGATGCAGCCTTACGGACAACGACGACAACGTAGACGATGGAGGCACCGGTGGAGACAGCGGTGGCGAGAATCAGCGCAGGAAGCACACTGTCACACGTGATGGACGACGCCATTTCGCCTTGGGAGTTGTACGACTTGTCGGGCGCGGTGAATCCGGACACGCTGAGCACTATGATAGATCATTTCCGGCGCTTCCGCGCCACGCGGAAAAAGAACATCGAGGTCGCTGACCAGCAAGGGCTACGACGTTCTTGGTGTGCCTTCATCCGACGCTGGAATCAGATTCTCGAGCTGGAGAAAGTTTCACCGGCTGGCTGGCTTACCGCGAGGAGATACTCGTGGATCACTCGATCGTGGCACTGCGCACGAAGGTCTGCAATAACGAGTGGGATGTTGTCCGGCTCTGTTTCGTTAACGTGAAAGAGGGGTGCGAGTCTTGCGTTACTTCTGCACGTCCGTCGCAAGAGGAGTGGGAACGACATCTCGCTGAGGGACAACTCAGCGGGGAAGAAGGGGCTTGGATCTCCAAATACGAACGCACCCTTTTCAGTATGGATCGGGCGGCTAATCGCGGCGGCTCACGCCGGCGTTGCACGCAGCGGAGCAGAGCTTCGCTGTCACCTCCTCGTGCTAGACGTCCTCCCGGGCGTTCTTCACGGTCTCCGCGGGCTGGCCCGCGGCCTCAGTTGACGCAAGTAGCTTGGTCTCGTACTCGCAAACGTCCGGGACGTCGTGAAGAAGATTATCGCGGGGTTCCCACGTATCGTGGTCTTCAAGATAACCAAGCCATCGGACGCGATAAAGGCGCGCGGCTGAAACAGGGTGGGTCCGACGGTTATCTTGAACAGACGGGGACTGAGGGTCGAGGTGAGCCACAATACGTTCCTCAATCCAGCGCGTACCATCCGTCGAGTCAACTATCGGTGGCGGGCCATCGCGGCGATACAGCGTACGCCCTGTACGTCCAGGGTGAGGTGGAGAACGCTGAGAATCGTGCACTGGACGCTCAGCTTGGCGCTAAGCGAGCGGAAGATCGCGCCTATCTGGCTGAGCAAGCTGTGTCGGAGTTGAGACAATCGAATCGCAAGTTGTTGGGTCGTCTGCGGGGGATTGGAGACGCATGTCCTCGGTTCTGCGCAACAGGGAACTCGACCGCGTAAGCGGGTGCCTGGAGCTGACGGGGCGATGGCGCGCCAAGCTCTTCGGTCTGGTCGACTGACGCACGTTCCATCGCACTGCTCGGGTCCGGAATCGCAGCAGGGAAGTAGCGCTTGAGTCGCCCAACGTAGAAGATCGGGTGAAGACGCAATGATGAGGCAATGTCTAGCGTGTAGGCGTCGCCCACAACCTTGGTTACGCGAAAAGGACCGATAAAACGCGGCTCTAGCTTGCTGGCACCAAGGTTGGTGACGGCGGATGGGCAGATCCCTTCCGTCGATAATAACACACGATTTCCAGTCTTGAATACATTCAAGTTCTTGCGACCGTGTTTATCGCCGTACTCCTTTTGCTTGTTCACTGCGCTCTGCAGTGCGTCTCGAACGAAGCGTGAAATAGTTTGTCTTTTTTTGCATAACAAAATCAGTAACGGCCGATCGATCGGCTGGAAGCACCGAAGGCTTCGGTGTGAAATTGACCGTGAATGCTGATTGCTTTTGCGTCTTGGCACCGGGGTCGACCAAGTTCTGCGCCGTCCATTCTGTAATTGGGGGAAGTAGTGCATCGCGGTGGCGCGATGAGTTCCTTAGACTGAGCGCGTGTCATGGCGTTAACTCCTGCGACAGGAATGAGTCGTGACCTTTGGATCTTTCGACACCGGGTCAGTTACCGGTGAGAGCCCCGGTGATGGCGGTGGACGCTGCGGCACCGGTTTCCATACTGGTGGAGCTGGCTCTGGGGCTTGTGGATTGGGCACGACGGCGGCTTCTGCTCCAGTTGGAGTAGACTCTCCCCCACCAAGGGTGGAACCACCGTATTCCGTAGCGTGGCCCACGGCGACAAGCGCCAGAACGCGAGGGTGACGAGCATTATTCACAAAGAAAGGCGTCAGACCCGTCGAGGAGTGCTCGGCGTTATTGAGTGCAATCTCAGCAAGCGGTAGGAACGAGCTCCAGCTCAAGTACGAAGTCGTGTAGCTGCGCAGCACATCCTCGAGGACCCGGTTGATGCGGTCAGTCTATCCATCCGTCTCCGGATGCGCCGCAGTTGGCATCAGCAATTTTGTGCCAAGCAAATTGAAGAGACTTGACCAAAATGCTGGTGTGAAGCGTGGGTCGCGATCGGAGACGATCGACCGTGGTGTCGGAATACCACGTCGACGAAGTGCGCTGCGGACTCTTCCGCGGTGATCGAATCTGCAACGGGAACATCTTGCTGAAGCGTCGACAAAGACCAGTATACCCGTGCGTCCGGTCGAATCGGGCGGTAAGCCGAAGATAAAGTCCATCGACACTGAGCGCCAAGCTTCCTTGGCAACTGGAAGAGGACGAAGCGGGGCCTGGGACGACGAAGACAGCTCGACTCGTTGGCAAGTCTCGCAATTTCGAACCCACTAGCGCACCCACTTGTACATGTGAGGCCAATAGGAATCTCTCGACAATGCTGCATACGTCTTGTCTTCTCGCGTCCAAGATGGCCTCCGATCGGAGCATCATGGAACTCGTGGATTATTCGAGCACGAAGATCAGCGTCGTTTGGAACGACGATCCGGGGACCATCGAACCGATCGATGGTGTACGTCAGCAGGTCGCCATTCAGTTGGTACTGTTCAATCTGGTTGCGTGTGGACTTGGACAATGCTCCCAGCGTGGTATCACTGGGAGAGCGAAGGTGTTTCAGGATGCCTGCGTAGATGGTATCGTCTTCATACGCGGCCGCAATCTCATCGCGCAGAGGCAGCATGGGCGTTGTAGACGTCTGGTTAACGCCCGAAGCTATGCAGACTGCACATCCGTCTTCGTCATCGTCTCCATCAGCCACCCGACGGCCTAGCGCCGTACGAGGATCGTAATCAGGACGCCGAGACAGGGCATCGGCGAGGATGTTATTCTTCCCTGGCTTGTAGTAGACGAGGAAGTTGTACTTGGAGAAGAAGGAAAGCCAACGGGCCATCCGTTGCGACAAATGTGGACTCTTCATCGCCGTCCACAGCGATGCATGATCGGTGTAGACCGCAAACGAGTGCTCACCAAGCAGATATACTCTGAACTTAATCAGAGCATACCGCATGGCCAGGAGCTCCTTGTCATGGACGGGATAATTTCGCTCGGCTGTCGGGACTGGTAGCTGACGACGCGCTCATGGTCGTCATCGTCGAACTGCATCAGCGCACAGCCGATGGCGAAGTCGCTCACATCGCAGACGACGTGGAATGGCTTCGACCTGTCTGGGAGTATCAGGATCGGGGCGGACGACAGACTCTTCTTCACCGAGTCGAACGCAGCTTGGTGTTCTGGCTTCCATTCCCATGTCACGTCATTCTTCAGGAGTGACGAGAGTGGCTGGATCAGACCAGCGTAGTTCTTCGTGTACTTGTAAATATAGTTTGCCATGTCGAGCCACTGGCGTAACTCAGTGGGATTTGTAGACGTTGGCCAGGAACAAATAGACGCCACTTTTTTAGGGTCAGCTAGTACACCGTCATTGCTCACATAACATCCCAACACCGGAATCTCCGGTGCGCAGAAGACACACTTCTTCAGGTTCGCGTAGAGCTTGTTTTCTCTCACCACCTGGAAGACTTGCCTCAGGTGCTTTAGGTGAACTTCTACAGCACTAAGATTTCCCTCTGCGCGACTGTGAACGAAGATATCGTCGAAGTAACTCGGCGCAAAGTCCCGGAGAGGGCGCAACATATGGGAAACCATGCGGTTGAACGTAGCAGGTGCGTTCTTTAGCCCTTGTGGCATCACAAGCCACTCCCAGAGCATCCCGCTCGGAGTGCTCACGACAGTGAGAGGTACATCGCGCTCACTTAGCAAGATGTAATAGAACCCATCGGTGAGGTCGATGGCGCTATAGATCGCGCTGCCTGACATGGAATCCAGTACCATGTCTTTCCGAGGGATCGGAGTCTGCGCTGGAATGGTGGTGTCGTTCAGCTTGTTGAAAGCGTGGACAATACGGCAGCCACCCGCCGCCTTCTTCACGCAGAATGTCAAGCTCGAGTACGGGGATGTACTTTCACGCACATGGCCCGCCTTCCGACGGCCCTCGAAGAAGTCGTTAATTGCTTTCACTTGCTCTCGGGGAAGTGGCCACTGTCTGGTGACGCAGTACTTCGTCCCGGGCACGAGGTCAATCTCGTGTTTAACGCCACGGTTCGCCGGCAGCTCGGCGGGAATCTTATCCGGGAAGACATCGGCGTACTCACGAGCGGTGTCATATACTGGATTGCTCGACTCGCGCAAGGCTTCCCAAGACTGTTCCTCGAATCGCTCCTCTCAACCGACTTGGGTTCGGCGCCTTGAGGTCGTGGTGGCTTGCCCTTGATCTTGATCGTGTTAACCGTTGCTGTCACCGAGGCTTCCTCGGTGATCAAACACACTTGCTCGATGTCGCCGGCCTTAAGGTCTCGCAAGAGGTCTCCCAGAACAAGCCTGGAAGCCCCGTGATCGCCGCCGCAGTGCGAGTCGGGCTCGCGGCTTTGACGATGCAGGAGCGGCTTGAACCCCCCTTCCCTCCGCGTATTCAAGCGCTCAGAACGACTCCGTCGGTGAGCAGTCGCTTGGTTTGGGGACACTGTGTGGTTTCAGGCGGTGTCGTTTTGACTTTTTCTTTGGCTTTAACTTCACCGAGTGCCCGCTCGAGGACGAGTCGATTGACAATGTATCACCCTCCTCCAGGAGCGGGAGACCATGCTCGACCGGGCCGGAATCGTGCGGGAGCCCGTGCTCGACCGCGGTGTCGTCCGACGGGGGCACCACTTGCTCGACCGCCCCTGATCAACCACCTTAACGCGTTGCGGGAGTCCCTGCTCGACCGCTTTTTTAAATGCGGGAACCCAAGCTCGACCGCTATTTCGTTCTTCAACGGGAATCCACGCTCAACCGCCGTCTCATTTTGTAGCGGGAGTTCACACTCGACCACTGTTCTCGTTTGTGGGAGCGACATACGCTCGACTACCTTGTTATTAATCTCGCGGCCTTGCGAGGAATCGTCATCCAGCAATACAGCACAAGCTATTCAGATAGGGCCATCGATCGCTCTGTACACAGCCTGCGTTGTGGTTGTTCTGTCCCCGACTGTGACGTGAGGCCAGTCTCTCGGTGCTACCAAGAGGTGCGTGACGTCCTCGATCACGTCGAAACCACGTCGACGCTTGACCGATCGGGCCAGCCAGCCAATCTCTGACTGGTATCGCGCAAGCCATGGGATGCCCAGGATGCAGTCAAACGCGTAATTCATCTTGATCGCCAAGAAATCATCCTTACTGCGGAAGCCATCGAACGTGTATTGCAACGATACTTCACGCTGCGCACCGCGGTCCGCTTTACCGCCCGCGAGCTTGACTTCGACTTCACCCGGGCCTTTCCGGATGCAGACGCTCTTGGGTAGTTCCGGCAAACACGACGCGCGGAAAAAGTTGTTGGTCGCTCCTGAGTCCACGAGCGCGCGCAGTGGTCGCCGGGCACCGGTGACATGGAGACTGACGATGATCAATCTCAAGTCGCCCGACGTGATGATGGCATTGGAGTGTGCTTGCAGCACAGGAGGGCTAGAAGGCTGGGCTGCAACCGGAGGGCCCGGGCCTTCGTTCCAACCAGTAGGGCACCTCGCACCTACTGGCCCCGGTCTTTTTTTTTACCTGGAAGACCTGGGAAGGCTCCGCATCGACGTGTGCGAGGACGGGAGCAGGCGCACGGCACTCCGCCGCGCGGTGATCCTTCTTCCGACAACGGAAGAAGATTAGAGGACGCGCACTACGGTTACCACCCCCGCGGTAAGCCGAGCGCCGTCGATCACCGGACGCGTCGATGGCGTCAATCTCCATTGGCTCGGGAGCAGACTCTCGGGCTGCCTGGGTCACGGCTTTGGCCAACGATGTCGCTACCACATAATCCTCACGAAGTGCGAGGGCGAACGCTTCCTCGAGAGCGGAAGGCTCAGCTCGCGTCAGACAGTAGCGTGTCATGCCCTCGCGTATTCCGAACACGAAGACGTGGACTTGTGAGGTCATGTCGATCTGCTTGGTAACGATGCACGACACCAGGTGTCGTGTCTTCTGGAGGTAATCGCGCATGGACATCTTGCCCTGGCGGAGGGCGAAGAACTCTGCGCGCACGCGCGACTCGACTTGTGGAGGCTTGATTGCCAGCCTCCAGTCGTTCTGGAGCGCCTCCAGAGTTGGGAAAGCATTGTGGTCGACGACCAACGTGCCGAAAGCTCATTCCCTCGCCTTCCCGGACAGCCGGGAGAGTAGGAATTTGACCTTCGCTGACGGCGCCTCGATGAGTCGCGAGGCGATAGCGATGTCGATCTCGTGGAACCAACGGTTCAGCGGCAGTCGGTCTACACCGTCTCCGGAATACGTAGACGTCTCCAGCTTGACGACGTCATTCTTGGAGAGACGCGAGGGAGTTGACACCCACCGATTCGCACCAGCGAGCTCGCGTTCCATGAACTCTTAGGCTGCTAGGCGCTGCTGGTCGGGTGTCGCTGAGTGCACCAGCGACGTGACGAAGGCTTCTCCGGACACAGCTGTCAGGCGGTGGAGAGCCTCCCACTCCACGCGAGTGAGATGGGGAAAAGCAGCGCGCTCTAGATCTTGACTCATGTCGGACTTGGTCATTGGAAGGACTACTAAGTGCTATCAGGTGTTACGGGGCTAGGGTTACCATTACTGACTTACACTGTAGTGTAGAGGAAGCTCGCAATAGTTAGACCGAGTCTTAGGTTTGTGTCAAATTCAACTCTGATTTATTTTGGACCAGGACGGCTATCCCTGGCCTCATGTAAACCACTCAAATGCAGATCAACACCTGATTGGTCAATAAGTGGATCTAGCACCCCAATATCAACCAATCAGATGATGACACCTTGACACTTGGCATAAAAGATGTCTCGTCCATATTGAAGACGCGACTCTTATCGAGCTTGTGTTCGATAAGGAGCCGCGTCATTGTGTAGTACAGACCACGTACTGCTTCCGCTTCGACACGGTTCCGGATGCGAGCGATCTGCTGAGCAATTCGTGGAGTCAGGATCGGGTGTCTCTCAATGAAGCGACGGTACGGTTTTGGCGGTACTGTGCGCCGAGTTGGCATTGGCTGCATCGCGAGGTATACTTCGTTGGCTTGGTATGAATGCCTGAAGGACCAACGGGTAAGCCAACCCGCTGCAGCAACCCACTCTACTAAGTCCGCCTCCAGCTCCGGCGGCAGCGTTGGCTTGGTGCCACGGTGGCCATC